AAAGAGTGCAAATATAAGTGGAGAAAGAAAAACAAAAATAGAATGTGAGTTTTGAAGAGTATGTAATACTGTATTGATCGTAAAATTCACAGATGAGAGAGAACGTGGGAAATCTTTATTCTGTGTATACGATAATCTTGTGGAACTCATGACGAAGAAAGAGCCCATGAATGCATCATTACTCGTATGCATCTCACAAGTTAATTTCATCTGCGACGTCGGCGTCGCCAGGCTCGCAAATAAGCGGTCATTACCAAAGAGAGAAGATGATCTTGCGGTCGTGTACGCATCTCGGTGATCGATCCGATCGTATAAATAAAATATGCTTCTCGATGACGCGAAAAAATAAATTCTTCCTACATGAAATTACAATGGTGTTTATTATTCCGCTTAGTTAATCCGCTTCTGTTTCGTTCCATTTAATTCGCTCGAGCGAGTCGAGTCGAATCGCGCCGCGTGCGACCGTTTTATCACCTCACACGTTCTCCGACGTGCCCTGACCATCCTTATATCCCGAAAGACAAAGCGTATACGGTATATCGTGAATGCACAGCGACTCGTGAGCACGGGCATGCGGTAGCACGGCAGTCGCGACATTAATAATTCAACAAAGCGCGCACATGGAGTGGCGGATTTAGGCTTCTGAGCGTTATAAATATTTAGATCGTCGCGAAGATCGCGGCCGTAAAAATGGAGCCGAAACGGGACGAAAGATTGCAAGCGAGGAGATAGACGAATCAGAGTTAAGGGAGAGAATTATTTGGAATTATTTTCGAAGAAACGAACACACTCAGGTCACGCTATCGTTAGTCAGCGTTGTTAGTCTCACTTTTGTTAGTTTAGTCAGTTTTAATTGACATATTAAATTTGTATTATTAATTAAACATCCAGTAGTTTGCTTGTCTTTGATTTATTTTATCATTTTATTACGTTTTTAAATAGATTTATTTAACATTAAATTTCATTTTTTTTTACATTAAAATAGTTCAGTCGTCCTAATACCTTGCAACCTTATAAGTAAATATAAGAAAATGTAAAAAAATTCTTAATTATGAATTGAATTTTCGTCCAGAGTAGTTAATGGAAGAAAAATATAAGTAGCATTAATCTATTAATTATCTCATTAATTTCTTTATAAATAATTTTTTGAGTAAAATTACATTATGTGCTGATTATTGATGACAAGCGATTACCTTGCAGCTTCCTATTAATTTCCACGAATAGAACGATTACTCAGATAAATACAATAATTGTTGCAATTATTCTCTTACAATACTTTACATACGTAGCAAAAAGGAATGCAATACTGTTATTATCGTATAGTTTTAAACTGGCTTTTATTTTTCATTAACGTGCGAAATCTATTATTTACAATCTTTTGTTTTCGAAAAAAAACATTAGCTCATGTTTTTTTAGTTTTTTATCAATGTTTGGATTGCTTTTGATTAAGTCCATTATTTTCTTGATTATATAAAAGTGAAGCAATTATATGTCAATTAAATCACTTATACGTATATATGTGCGTGTGCGTATGTGTGTGTGTGTGTGTGTGTGTGTGTGTGCATATGTGTGTATCGAATACGTGAATGTACATATTGAATATTATGAAATTTTTTACAATAGTCACTTAAATATATATCTTTGAGATGTACATACATATGTGTATAACTTTTACGTCTAACTTGATAAAATAGGCTAAACGGAATTGACTAGTCTTCAAAAATCAATAACAACTTTAAATCCTTTCAATCTGCCTCCTTTACTTTTAGAACAAATAACGAAATATTAATTCTATCTTTATAAAAAAAATATCCTTTATATATACTAGATGGGGTGAAAAGTAACCTCCTTGACCGCCAGAATGCGCCACTACTGCAAAAAAGTTTATGGTGCCTTGTAGTTCATATTTAGGCAGACATGCCAAGTGGCAGTGCGATACTGCCCTTAGTTTTGTTTTGAGAGCTGATTGTTGTTGACGTGTTTGCGAAAACGATTTTCGTTCTCTCATAAAACATTATTTTTTGAGAGGCAAAACGGCGAAGGAAACAAAAGAAAAGTTGGATAAATATTATGTGGCTAATACTCCGTCAGATTACACCGTCAAATATTGGTTTCGAGAGTTTCGTGGTGGCCGCAACTCCCGATGAAGTCCGCAGCGGCAGGCCCTCCGATGCGGTTACCGAGGAAAATGTCAAAAAAATACATGAAATGGTGTTGGCTGACCGGAAAGTGAAGGTGCGCGAGCTAGCAGATGCTACAAAGATTAGTACTGAGCGAACACGCCATATTTTGGGCGAGATTCTGCACAAGAAAAAAATTTTTTTCATTCCCAAGGAGGTTACTTTTCACCCCACCTAGTATATATATATATTTTGAACATTATTCTCATATAAATATGAACTTATTAATGAGATAAATAGGATACGTACAACTGAGCGATCAAATTTAGAAAATTATATTCTTTCCATTCGCATAAATTGTGATATTTTACATTTATTGCCGGTTGTAAAAATGACTTTGTAGTATACTTTTTGTGAAAGTCTCCTGTATGTGATTCGCTGAGTCTTGCGGTAAAGGCTATAATCAACTGTCGCTGATCGCGGTAAGAGTGCAGTGTTAATATCAAAACCTAAATGCAAAGTGTTACTCTGTGCAGGTTATACTTTGACCTAAGTGTTACCTTGAGACCATCATTAATCATGCAATAACAGGTTTGCAAAAATCACACATTAACATATATGTCCCGGATGACGGAAGATTTGAAAAAATTCCGTTAGCTGATCGACATATTATCTTTGCAATACGCGAAGGATAACTGTAACGCGTTATTCATCTGCTTATTTATTGATTTGGCAAAAAAGAGCTTGATGGATCTGGCGTCAATTAACAACTTCATATCGGAAACAAGAAAGTGAACATAAGTTTGAAAAAAATAGAAACAACATTAGAAACCGTTTTCTTTTCACAGAGATTCTCTAACGGCATATCGCCGCGAGTATTACAACTTATAACTCGTCCGAGGCTTTTCCACGACTTACGCAATAAGAAAACGCGCGTATATGAAATAAACGCGTAAATGTATTTGCGCAACCGCGCTAATGCACCGTGAGACCGAAACGAATTTCTTTCTCGCTTTTACCCTTGTATCGTATATATATTAGCGATCTTTTATATTATATTACTACATCGCAAGCTTAACTGACGTATTATTACCGTATTGATTCTCTTATCCACGTAAGAGTGTATTTCTTATTATTCCTTTCGATATTTCATTCCTTCGTGATCCCTCGATAAATTGCTACCCTGACGCGACCTTTCTTATTTCCTGACCTCGGAACCTTGACCCAGACTTTCTCTCATGACAATCGATCAATCAAATTGTAAACTATCTGAACTATGATATTGATTAATCGCACAATCTTGAAATCCATAAATGATAATTAATTAGTCGTGATGCAATTTTTAACTTGCATCGCGAAAGATTATCACATCCTACGTGCGATTAGGACACTCAGCATATTATTACTCGTAAACTGTTAAGTCAGCTGATCACTTTGAATAATCGGACGTTATTCAGCGATGCTAACGAAGCGGATTATAAATCTTGGCGCTAAAAAACTGCTTACTTCCATCATAATTTCAGACACGTGTCACGTATGATTAAGTGTCGCACGGCGCACAAATAATTTTTCGTATTTGTGGCAATAATTGTAAATTAAATTGATGTTGAAGTTAGTCCATTTTATAGATGAAAGTGAGTAATTGCGAAAGAGTCGATTATACAGTTAAATACTGATTTCCTCAAGGTTCAGGAATTACGGGTACTGCATTACCATTGCATAATGCTCAGTCGGACGATAATCTGCCAGTTATTACCGTACCGTTGAAAAGTGTTTCCTTATTAGAGGTGGCCTCTTATAGGTGGTCGCTAACGTATTACATCCATCCGGCGTAAGAGCGTAAGATCGATCGAAGTACGTTACGCGGCGGTAAATTGAAGTTCAATACGGTCACGATGAAATCACTCGGCGAAATGTGCGCTTTTGCCACGTCATAATCTGTCTTTTTGCCGCGTGCAATTTCATTTCCTCTTTCTCTGATCGATGTCGATCATTTCGCCTTAATGCGACAGTACTTTCTGAGTTTCACCCACGTTTGTTTTATAGAGGACGGAATCCGTTGAAGGAAAATGATTTTATCTATAGAGAAGATTTTTCTTTGTCTTGCACACAGAAAAATATTATACATATTGTACGCAAATTATAATTACTTATTTCAAAAGTCTATATATCCGCAAATTTATCATAAAAGTTTATAAACATCGAATTTTTTAAGAATATATTCTGAATCCTGCACGATAAGATTTTAGTGAAGTATCTAAAAATGTAGCTAAGTATACATCTGAAAATAATTTCGTTGGATCATCAAAATAATTGCGTAGGAATCTCAAGCATAATGAATAATGCTGTATAAAGTTTTAACATTCTAGCAACCAGTTTGAGCATCCTACATAATTATTTTATAAATTTATTATTATTAATGGTTTATTATTATTAATGGACCATTATGGTTTATTAATGGTCCAATAAAATTATTATTAGGTCTGTATTTAGCTAAATTTTTACTTCAGAAAAACCTTTCTGTGTAATAATTGCATAAGTTTAATACTTTAATCAAGATTAAATTAAAACAAATTCGTTTTGCTCATTAAGCAAACATAAAGTTGCTTCTTCTATCAAGTTTATAATATTCTTTAAAAGAAAATTCTTGTTTTTAGTATATATTAATGAGTTTTTCTAAAATTTGTAATAAGTATTACAATATTAATATCAAGAAAATATTCTTCATTAAAGATAATTGTTACTTAAAAGAAAGAAAGTAAATTCCATAATCACGTTTCTTAGCAATTGAATGATATTTTTCTGCGTGAAGGCGGTCAGAAGTATTTTCTTTATAATTTATCCTACATTTTTTATAATTTTTTTTTCTTTTACTTTCAGGTGCTTCATGGACTAGAGTAACATCCTTGGAAGAAAGTAGACTATCATTCGGAAAATTATTTAGAAAATTTTGCGAAGAGTTCGGTAAAATAACGTGTGCGATAATAATGTAAAGGAAAATGTGATTCTCGGTCAGTGATTACTGATTACGTTGATACAGAAAAAAAGCAAGAAACGAACTGTATAATAGAAACCGTGGTAGTAAAGTAAAGAGAAGAAGAGAAAGATAAGCACTATATAAAAGGTACAGAAAAATAGAAGAAAGAAGAGGAGAGACGCATTGCGATCGCATCCGATCAAGCTAAAACGTTCTCTCGGTCGATCGTTTTCTCTGTGGAAGGTACGTCAGAGAATCGTCCTCTATTTCCACCGTCTTGCCCTCTCTGAACTCGAATCTCGATAGATCGCCTCGACGCGGCAGCCGACGCCTCCTGCCTACTTTCTATCGCCCTGAAACATATCCCGAGGTGCACCTCGCCTCGGTAAAACCTCCGAGAAACGAGTTTTACGGCCGATTCTCTCACGGCGAAACGCGACGAAACGAGCGTAATTACGCGAGGATAGTCTACTCTCGCACGCTGCCTTCCTTTTTTCCTTCACCCCCTTTCTTTCTTTGCTTAAAGAAGGAAAGAACCTCGGGAAACGGGAACATCGCGGGAGTGCCGTTTAATCGGCCAACACAATCGATCGAGTCGATCGATTCGGCGAAGACATGATGTTAGAATGATTATTCGTTCGAGAGAGATTATATTCGTTAGAGAGATTATCGCGACGATTTCATTATTGGTTTAAAAAATTCAGATAAGGACAAGATTTGAAACGAAAGATTATACCATACTTATTTTCATAAAAAAAATTACGTATAAGAGATTTGAGAGATACAGAGAATTAAATTAAAGAGAAAATTATCCGAACAGAATAATTGTAATTAGCGATTGACCGTGTTCTCGTTTGTGTTGCGTTTCGCTTGTAGACACAGGACAATGAGTCGATCCGCACTGTTGAATTCACATTGTCAAATTATATCCAATTTGAGTTATTTTTAATTATTTCTAAAGGTCACCACTTCTCCTATTCAATATATCGTTAATTTAATTAAAACAATGGAGTTAAATAATTTAATTTAAACAAATGTATTAAATTAGATTTAATTAATTTAGTTTATTATTAAGTGCACATGTTAATAAGAACGTTACTTACTTTAAAACTATCCACAGAAATATATTGATTTACATTTTGATATACATGGAAGTTAAAAATAAAAAAATGTTATTTAATTTGAAGGATTGGCTTACCGTTGCTCCTTTGATATCTAACTGTGCACGTGCGAACGATCTTCGCAATCGAGATTAAAATAAACAGGTCTTTTGATGGTACTATTTCCTCTTACAGTTGACGATTACAGTAGCTGTTTCGAGAGAAGATTGCTCGACGAGCTCGCAAAATAGGCGAAGGTACCGTCTCTCTGGGAAAAAGAGAAAAGGCGAATTGGAAGGAAGAAAAGTGTAGATATCCCGCTGGTCCATCGCACACTGTTTATCCTGGGAATCGAGCCGAGCGCCCGGGCGCCTCGATACTCCGTGCGATTGCTTTCAAAGACGAAAGAAGGATTCCGCAAGGATCGGGTAGAAGGAAAACAACGTGCGCAACGATACAGGAAAAGAGAGATGTACCGAGAACCGAGCAGTTCGTCGGGCAGCGGCGCTTCTACCAAGGGCGACGAAGTCGAACTCGTCAGTAGATTCCTGGCGCCGCTCTGCGCCAGAGACGAAGCGGCAAGGAACATCGCCTTGGCTGCGGCCAGGACTACCGTCGAAGGATGGCTGGGTGGCGTCAGCAGCCCAAATCGCTGGGAGGACGCCGGCGACATCGAGGACATCAAGACCGCGAGTGGGAAATTTTCCAGTTCTCAGGACGGAAGGTGAGTGTTTTGTCATTGTAGAGTAGTAGTGAGATTTGGTTATGAAAGTAATGCGAATTTTGGACATAATTATATCAAATTGATAATTAATTTGATTAAATCAAATTTGTGCAAGTGGATAATTAATTTGATTAAATCGAATAAGTAAGTAAGGACCGATACGATCGAGGCTAGATCTTGACCTAATATTTTTATATGTCAATTCTAATCTCATTTTCCAGTTTACATACTGCGCGCCGCTTACTATCTGTCGAATTTTTAAGATGCTAATTGCATCTTTATCAAATCGATGATTGATTTAATTATAATATTGTTTCAGCTTTAGTTTATGATTGCATTTCAAGACCGACAATAATCGGCGGGACAGTTCATATAATTGAAAAATGATTTAGAATTTACATATAAAAATTATTAGTTATCAAGATCTAGCCTTGTTTGTTTTTTTTCCTTTACTTATTTGATTAGTTATAGCGACCTAGATTAACTTATTATTATTTGATTAATTTCTGCTTATTTTTTATTGAATTTTAATGTTTTTAAAAAAAAACTTACATATTCTTGTTGATAATAATTATTAATTTGATCGGGCAGTGTTAAATCGTAGTATTTTAATCATGATTACATAAAGCGATCTCTAATCTTGAAACTATGTAAACATTCGCTGTTAAACGCCGTTATTCACATCATTGTTAAATGTTTAGATTTAATTGATATGTTACGATGAACATTTTATTTTCCGTATTTATTGAATAATAATACGGACATAACGCTAAAGAGCATTAAAATTATACAATTTGTTGAACAAGCTTGTTTACCGGTATCAATTACCTGGACCATTGATTAACAATTAATCAATTAACAGTTATCAAATAACAAATAATGTATGCGGTATATTGTGTAATAAATACTTCCTAAAATCTCGTTTCGCGTATCATAATTTCGATCGAGCGGACATATTTAATCGGAGCAAACATTTTGTTCCATGCTCTCTCTCAGCAAATTATTGGTCCTGGATTTAATATCAGCATTCAGTCACGCAACACGTAAAATCCGATGCGAACGCGGTATTTAAATAATCACGGCGGTTCATTAAAATGTGCACGTTATCAGGATTAATAACAAGCACGGAAGAATATTATATTCATTTAAGCGTAACTACAAGGACCAAATGTTGTGGTAATTTCCTGCAGCTTTTTTTTTTAAATAAAATTCATACACTTTGTTTCCGTTTCAACTTACTAAAATTACAAAGCATTTCTGGCAGAATGATTCTAACTTTTAAATAATATTGAGGGAAAGTTGATAATAGATTACATAATGTTAGAAATCGTACAAATGGACATAATTAAAAATAATTGTATTGAGAAAGTCACGTACAAAAAGAAATGTTTCGCGATGGTCAGAGATGATTGCTGTTTATCATGACAAATCTGGAATAGTGATTTTATCAACTACAATAGTGATTTTATGAAAACGAGCAATTTATCTTCGTCTGATTTTATTGTTCATAACTCATCATTGAACGAGGTCATTTCAAATTACTTTGTAAATGATTGCTACTATTACGGCTTATTCAGTAACGAGAAAAATAGCGTCTCCTCAAAAGATTTACAAGCAAGACACGTGTATACTCCCGTTATTGACCTCTAATCGATAATATTCGTGTTTGGTTGAAGATACGATATGAGCATCGAACGGTCGCCGACGAGATCGTCGCCGAGAAATGTGCAGCAGCAGCAGCTGTTGCACGACACGTTCCGGACGGAAGGCTTCTTTCCGCAAAGCATCAATGACAATCCACCTCCGTTCCTCGAGGAGAACAATCCGGAATGCTCGTTCGATTGCGTGGATGGTCGTCTTTTGAACGAAAGGCGATTTCGCGAGCGATACGCCAGCGGCGACGGCGTCGAGAGTTGCAGGTCCGGTCATTCGACGTCTTCAGACGAGGGTAGTAAGAGTTTCAATATTGAAGGCAGATGCCCGCGCTTCGGCTCGAACAGCGAGACTGAGAGGAAGCATCCTGGTTCATCGTCGAGTGACAGATCGACAAGCGATGACTATTGCTCTGGCAGGACGAAGAACAATTACGTGAAAGTGAAGGGCGCTAAGCAGAAGCAGCTGGAAGATGACGAGCTTGATGCGGATACCCGAGTGTACGGCAAAAGTCCGAAGTTCGATGACAACCTGAGCGGCCTCGCGTCATTCGACTGTCGGAATCTGAATCGCCGAGCCAAGATTGTCGCCAGCGGCGACCTGCTAACGCACGAACAGCGCCGATACTACGACGCCGGCACCGACGACGACGTCTCTTTCAATGACAGCGAGGCGGCGCGCAGCGACGGGGTTGTCTTTAACACTCTCGACGGTTTCGAAAACGAGAACGATCTATCACCTTTCTACCATCAGGATATGAACTTGGAGAACCGCGAGACAGCGGTCTATGATGACATACCGGAGGATTCTCGCCGGACGCAGCAAGACTATTTGCGCAAGAACGATGAGAGGAAGTTTAGTGCCGGTCAGATCAAAAGGCCGCTCTCGCAGGACGAGGACGTGTCTTCGAAGAGCGGCCGGGTGCTCGAGAGCCCTGAAGTGACACCCGGCGACGTCGGCAGGATGCTGAATCTTGGTAACGCTTTGGACGGACCCAGGCAAGCACAGGCTAACAAGTACCTCAGTCTGGTGACGTTGCATCTGCCGGTGATACTGAGGCTCAGCGTTAATTGCCCCTTCCAGAACGTTAGAATCAAGTGTGCGGAGATCCTCCAGATGGTTAAGGTAAGTGAAAATTATTTCGGATTTATTTCGGAATATTTTGGATTTGGCTAATACGCCAAATAACATACGTCTTTCGTGTTTAAATAAATCTGCGTTAACATTAATTGGCAACTATCTCAAATTAGCTTTCGAGGTTAAAGCTATTTTATACTACAGTATTATATTTTGAAGAATCATTTTTTGTTGTTCTAGGTCTAGTCATATTTTTAATAGAAGTTTACTAAAAAAAATTGTTTTTTATTAGAATCTATTAATTTTCTTTTATTTAAATTTTGAAATTAATATTAGTTTTCAGTTAATTCAATTTGCTTTTATGAAACACAAATATTATTCTTGTCTTATGTGTTGAATCTCTTAGATTTTAAAAGGTGCAGTAAAGCAAGCTGTAAAAGACGGCTTATCATTATTGTCCGTGATTATCTATGTGTGTAGTCTCCGACGGGAATTAAATATCGCACTGTGTGCCATGAGTCAGAGCATACAGAGACATTCCGACATTCCGGAAGAGAAAAAAAATCTTTGCGAAACGACCGATGCGAAAGATAACGGATAGCCTAGATGTGGCGATGGTCGTGCAAAATTTCGCTCGCGAAATCTTGGGAGAACAGACGTTAGCATAGTCGTGAAGTTTACACTCTTGCGTGCACTCGGCCGAAATTCTTTCGTAACGATTCTTCTGAAGTTTATGTTCGCCCGAATATTTCTCGCTGAGTATCCACGTGTTTCAAGTTTATTAGGCAACACGAAGCAAAGTTGAAAACGTTATAATCGACCAAGATAAGAGTACTGTGCATGCGGGATATTTAAAAAATGTCACACCTGCCTCTGCTGGACGAGCTCTCTATTTTTGTGAAAGAAAAAACGTAAAGTTATTGTCAGTTCTATGGCAAATAAAAATTGGTTATTAGATTTTAAGATTTTAATTATTATTTATTATGATTAATTTAAAGTTAAGGGATAAAATTGTATTCTATTTTTGTTTGAATCTTAAAAAAATTACAGCTTTTCTAATTTAGACAAGTTCGAGTCTTATTTATAATTAATTTTATTTTTTGTTAAAATTAAGAATTTAATTTAAAATAAAAAAGTTACGATTACATGATTCTATTCTTATTTTAACTCTCAAAATTATAGCCATTTCAGTTTAGAAAAGTTTGAGCCTTGTTCTTAATTAATTTTAATTTTTGTTGAAATTGAAAATAAAAGCAAGACTTATGAGAATTATTCATGTAATTTTGTAGCAATCGCCATTTTCTTTAGCTCGAAATTTCGGTACTCCTAGCTCAGGCGGAGCAAGTGCAATAATTCTGAAATACCCTGTATACATTCTGCAGCGGAATTGAGATTGTCCAGAATATTTCAAGCTTTATCTCTCCAGCTTTGCGGTAATTTATCCGAGTCCTTCGTGAAGAGTAACTACCGAGTGCGATTCTTATGCTACTGTGACTCTGTATCTCCACTTTTAATGTGCCGCTACTTTATGATTCCCTTAATAAATAAATTATTGTGAGTTTCACGTTAGAAAGAAGCTATTTGGGCTTGCAATCGAAAGTAATCATTGTTTGATCACTTTTGGAACAAAATTTCACTCCTTTGGAGGAAAAAATTGTACTTTGATCCCACCTTAGTGTAATTAGTTTCGAGATATCTTGAAAATTTGACTATAATAAGATTAGAGATGGACAGTAGTTGATGACTGGACAAAAAATGATTACCTTATGAAATTATTATCTTAGCTTGAAATAAGTTCGAAAATGAATACGTGAGAATAATCTGACGAAGGATGTACTTATGTATAAAAGATAAACCGGAGTAACCGACTATATATTAATGGACTTGTTTTGACTGGTTATTTGGGGAGGCGTTTGAACTGCGGCCTAAAAATATCTCGTACCTAGGCAGTTCGCGGTTAAAGCAACTTTAGCCTATCGCAAAGTTGCTCTTTCTGTACCTTCGAGTTCTATGCCGGTCATTAATCTTATTATGGCGGCAGTTAATCTTTTTCCGCGGAAAGAATTACCACGAGAATTGATCTAATTTATGCAACAATGCAGTCATTCAAGAAAATATCTAACAATACTGGCGATATAATTTTATGCGTTGCAAGTTCGTATATAAAGCAAGCAAACGGTCTCACATCATAAATATTTAAAATCGAGGCGACCGTGTAAAATAAAGGACATTTTAAAAAATGTTTCCGGCTAACAACTTTGGATTATTTTAGTGTTATTTGTTTTCTCGAACTTTACGCTCGCAAGGAAATCGCGCGCAAAGTAATATACTCGGGCTTCATTCGTCTCTGATAGTAGGATGAAAATAGACCGTAAAAATAATCGGCTATTTTTGAATTTTCCAGATCAAAGTAACGTATCATATTTCTTTGTTGTTTTTTTAAATATTAATTTTAAAAATAGTATGTCATATATGGGTCATTTTGATTAGTGTGTGAATTATGAAAGTTGAAAAAAAGATATGAAGTATGTGTATATATTTCCTGCACTATAAAGTTTCAACTTGTATATGTGATATATTATTAACTTTTATAGGTGCATTTGTAATTCTATTTATTTTCTTATAATGCTAGTCGACAAAATTTTTTTTATGTTAATCTGATAGGATGTTTTATATAGTATTTTTTGGGTTGATTTCAAAGTTTGTCAAATTTATAAGGGCAGAATTTTTGAATAATATGCATTTAAAAATTCTTTTACTCATATTTTCTGCTTAGAGACATAAATAAATTATTCAAAGAGAATAGCTACTGAATTTAACATGATTTTCTATTCGTTAAACGAATTACGTTTTTTGTTAGAATTACTTTCTAACAAAAAAAATTAATGAATTGGAAGAAATAATCTTATTTTTAGTCAAAGCGGATCTTAGTGTTTAAATTTCACACTAAGATCAGATCTGCTTTGATCGAAAACAGGATTATTTCTCTTAATTGCTTAATTTTTATTTGTTTAATTTAATTAAGAAAAAGATTCTATACGACGAGCTATTATTAGTAAAATGTAAATTTTTAAACAAAAATATGTCGGTTACAAAAAATTAGACTATCTAGAATAATTCTAATTTCATTTTCAGAATCAGCATAAAAAAATATATAAGAGTCAGCTAAATTTATCCATTTAACAAAATCGTCGACTGGTATAATATAATTAAGTAGTGCAAATCGTAATCTATAACATTCAAATTTATATAAACTATTGTCTTAAATAAATTATGTTGAAAAGTGCGAAACAGATGGATATGGGAAAGGATGACGTGTCAATTTAAACGGATATTTCATCCGTTAATAGCAAGACAAAAAATGTAGATTACACACGTAGACACGAATAATATCCGCCGCTCTGCTCACTGATATTGTCACACTCGAGGCTGATCGATACGACTTGTGTGTAAAGCTTTATACATAGTGTAGAACAATTTTCAGGCACGAAGCTGGCAGGAAGTCAGGAAAAGAAAAGGAGGTTTTATACATAAAACACAGTGCGTCGTATCGCGACATCGATAATCGCGTATAATTTGTGAAATATCTCTAATTATTCTACCTCTCTACATACGGTCGAATATTAGTAGACAAAAATATTCTCCTAACTTTTATTTTTTACTAACGTAGAAGATAAAATATATTATTTGCAAATATCGAATTTCAGTCGTAATATAATAATTTTATTAATGAACGAACACTCGGGAAATTCATATCTCGTATCAAATATTAATTATTCTAACTAATAAAATATTTTTTAAATGAAGATATAAAGCACTTCCAGTTATAACGCAATTAAATTAAAGCAATTATTTGATCATCATTCGTTGTTGATTCTCTTAGTCTTTCATTTTTAATTTAAATACAATTTTTTTTAAATATAGCTGTAAATGTAGCTGTTTTTAAAAAGAAATTTATATTTTAATTAATTACAGTCGGAAATGGAGACGATAAAAATAAATATTTTTTCTCATCGTGAAAATTAAATTGTTCGCCGAATTGCTGATGTGTATTTATTCTAATATTATTTTTATTGTAAAAATGTTTTAATCTCATTGGTTGTCGCAATGATTTAAAAAAGTATTTTATAAAAATTAAAAAAAATTTTTCACGATATGTAGACAAAGTTATACAAAAAATTCGCCCAACGTGGGGCTCGAACCCACGACCCTGAGATTAAGAGTCTCATGCTCTACCGACTGAGCTAGCCGGGCTGTTGGTAGAGCGCTTCTCTCTTATATCTTTTCCAAATGAAATTAGATACACAGATGATTAGTGTTATGTTCTGATATACACTGCCAGTATTAAAAATCTATAATATACGTAATATGAACTATTAGATTTTTTATACTATGAATAATTGAACACAGCCAAGATTGAAAATTTGTTCGAAATTAGGCACACAAATAATAAAATTAAAAATTTGTTTTTTTTTTTTTTTTCAGGAGAGAGGACTTCCAGTACCGGTGCCCGCCTTCGATGGACCTAGTGCCTTCGTCCCTCTCTCGGAGGTAAGTATCTTTGCATGTCATCAATTGCTTTTGTAGATTAGTATGCCAGCTTGTGTTTACGGCCGGTCTAATGAGTGTTTGATAACGTTAATCGAGACGTAACTTGTTCTTTTGTATTCGATTATATTTTTGAAAAGAGACGAAGATTCGAATTACGATAGTATTATTATAATTAATATTTGTGTGGTTTAATGGGAATTTCGATACGGTTTTGATGCATTAAACCATTTAATTCATCATTGATTCAACATTACGGTTATTTTGTGCGAACATGTGATTTTCAATTCGATATCACATTCGCCTAACATGTATTTTAAGATAAATAAGAGTGAACATCTTATTAGATAGTAAAGCGACGGTGAAGACTATTCAGAATACAATCACTCTTATTTACAAAGATAAACGTAAAGATCATGTTTATAATATAATTTTATGATTATTATTATTTTAATGTAATTTATTTAGAAATATTTTATTTTTAACTACGCTATCTATTTTAATTTGCTACAATGTCATAAACACTTTTCTTGATTAAAATCGATAAACGAGATTTCGATGAACGTAATAATTGTTGATACGGATAATAATGTGTGGTAATTCTTATTAAAATGTGGTTTTTCTGCATTTATTATTTTTTTTTATTAGAGATCAGCACGGTTAGTTTATTGTACTCGCGATTGGCCGCGACAAAAAGTGGGATGTGAAAAACGAATTGGTTGATGTTGCTGCGAAATCTGGGCCACCGTGTTAACGCTCGTAGCGTCAATGATTTCTCCAGCTGATTGGCAATAGTCGGTAACGAGTCGACCATGCAGATGATTAGCGCATGTAAACCGGATATTAAATCGGTCTAACACTCATTTGTCCCCGGTGACCCTTAATTTATTTTAATTATTTGTAAGTATTGGTATTGTTCGCTGAAATGCATTTTTTGCGATTTGTCTATGAAGAAAACTACATTGCCGATCGAGTTGATGCACGTGTAGTCTTACAGAGATGAAAAAAATTTTTATAAGTTATTTTTGAAAAATTTTTATTTATATTTATAAAAAAAGAATTATAAGAAAATTATAATTAATGTTTAAATTATCTAATTTTTTATTTTTTATTTTCTATAATTTTTAAAGTATATTTATTAGAATTGCGAATATTAATAAAAGAATATTGTTATTTTTAATTTCTCACTTAATTTTATTTTGCAAGAAATAAAATTTTTTTATTTTATCAATGTAGGATTAGAGGAAAGAATATATCGGTTGTTTTAATCGATTGACAGGTGGCGCCAATGATCAAATTATTCGCGCGGTTCTAAACGGTGTTATAATTAGCAATTATATAGATTAATGTCGTTTAATGAAATTGGAACGTTCTCAAATAATGAATATATTTTTGCGTTTTAAAAAATGGTAATAAAGTAAATGTAGTTTTCAATGATGTATAAAGAATTTTAATTAATTATCTAAATTATTATTGATGTTGGTTATTATAATAATAATCCTTTGTTGCTATGAATTACAATGTATTTCAGTAATGACACTCGAATCGCATTTCACGCTCGAGAATTGCTGACGCAACGTGCTGCGCGTTGCACACATTAACACGAAACTCATTTTGCACTGCAATTTATATTATGGCTACTAATAAACAAGTTTATCGCGATCTATATTTCAAGAGAGATCGGGCTCTTGCGATCTATGTTATTACCGGATATAATATTATATAATGCGATAATTTACGGATCATAATATTGAATTTTTTTACGCGATCTCATGGTATTTAATAAATGCTATCTCAGTTTAGATAAGATTATGAGCCGCATCTGCTGATGCGCACATTTGCATTAAGTAAGGAAGAAATGTATCAGTTCGAATTATCGTATAAACGTGCATCGAGCGCGTATGATTATCCGCACGTGCTATATATTTATTGATATGTGATATTTTCGATGTGTGAAAGAAAATAAAAATATGCTGCCATTCATAAATATCGTTCAATCATGATCGTTGCAGCATCACAGAATTAGAAATAGTGCGTTCTGGAAAATGTGATGTGTGAAACTAATATTCTTGTTAATCTCTTTTTTACACAGGAAAAGTATTACGGCACCTATTTTTTTTTTTTTTTTTTTTAATAAAATCTCGTAATCTTTACAATCTTTATTATAAAGTGATTAAAATGTGTTCTCTGAAATGCAATTATCACCATTTCTGTAATAAATCAGGTAAGTGTAAACAAATATATAATTTTCTACAAATAAATTGCACACGATGGTTTTATTCAGGTACAAAAATCGTGATACTTTAAAAAAATAATTTTGAGAGAGTATTAATTTTTTATTTCAGGAAAAATATTTTTATGACGATATTTTTCTTTATATATTATATATGTATATAATATAAAAATTATTAAATGTGCACATTATTATATATATAAGAAATAAAGTAACTTGCCTAAAAGATAGCAAAAAAACGTAGTTTGAAAAACTTCATGTAGGAGATGAAGTATTTGTTATGGAAATATTTATCATTAGGTTCTTTTTGGAAAGAAAATATTATAATTTTTAATTTTTCAATTAAATGATAAAGATCTCTCTTATGAATAATTCGATATCTCGGGTATAATTTTAATTTAACATAAAAATCTTTCTGACGTGATTTATTACTTATTGATTCGTCTGTCATCTTTATGCTGTACGTTCTCTGCGTCACCGAACACGAAATAACTATCGATCATCGAGAACTTAAATATGAAGCGATGATGTATCGTCATTCGGTCACTTTTATCATTTTCTATAGATCTGTGCAAGATCTTACTTGTATAACTGACACGCGATCCATTTGTCATGCGTGCAATATCATGCTCGCGATATCATGCTCAGCATTCTTGAATGCGAGCAAGAATAGGTATTGCGGAAAAAAACTGCATAGTAGATTATGTAAATGCATGACGCTTTGACGATTTGAAGATAACTGTAAAAATCATTTCGCAACATATTGATTACGAACGTATTTTTGTCACGCATATATAGAGGTATCACGTTACTATTTTTCCTCTTTATAATATTCCAAGGATAACGTTGCAACCTATGGATTATATTTCTTACTTCTTATTTCTTTCGCTTTTCTATAAGAAATTTTGTTGTCCTATTTCGACACTTTTATTGAATCACTCGGAAATATCAGATCCTCTCTTCTATAACTATCTCACATCCTTGCCGGTCAATTTCCAAGGGATATTATCGAACGCGTTCTACTTTATAGTAGTTCCCCAGGTATTGGGGAACCGGTACTGTGTATCGAGAATAAACGAAGTTTCACTTTATCCGGAAAAGCGATAGTAGCTGCCGCATAGCGCAATTTGGCCGCTATTTCTCGAAACCGAATACGATGTGACCTAAATTTCTGACACCACAACCAATTTGCACGTCATGTTGCAGAAACATTCGAAGTTTTTTTTTGTGAAAAATAGAACGCGTGGGATGCGAGGGACAAAAGGAGGGATTGAAAATTAACGGGAATCTTGACCGGGTCAATGAATATTGTTCCTTGGTCAAGCGACTGCGAATAACTCATACACGTTTCATATAGAAGCTCCATTAAAGCTCAAATTGAATCTTCAATTGTTTTCCTTCGTCTCACAATTTGCGCAATCTCGCTGATAAAATGAATTTACGAAGATGAACAAATATCCCATATCTACGACCAATATTATCTGTTTTCTGTTTCCGGTTATTAAAATTGCATTACTTGTTTTCGTTCGAAAAGACGAAATTTTTTCAATAATACGGATTTTTTCTGTTTAGCATTTATTTCTACAATACATTATTTATATTGCCACTACAATTAAATTTATTCAAAATTAGTTTATTATGTTCTTCATTTTATTTCTATAAACATTATTTTTTTCCTTCGTGATAAGTGACTATTAATTGCGTATTGGAGCGTGGTATTCAGCTCGCTTAACTTAGTCTTAAAGCCCATAGCATGCAAGAGCCCTTTGCCGTAAAGGGTTACCATACTGTTTATTCCGCTAATGATATTAATTAGCTCCTAATTAATTCCGTTTTGACATTTTGATTAGAAATTATTAATAGGGAGTTATTAAAATAACGATTTATGAAAGTTCTATATATTTTTTATAAAATATATAGAACTAAAATATATATTTTTTATAAAATATTTAACATTTTTTTTCAACATTGAGTTTTTATTAATTGATAATGTCTAGCTGTTAAATTATTTGTTCTTCTTAACGTAAAGAAAAATTATACATATTAAAGTACTACAAAAAATTAGTCATATTGTTCACACAGTTTCTATTTCTGACATCACCTTTATCTATATATGATTATCTACAGGTCGTTGACATCGCGCCTCGTCTTCTTTAATGCGTCAATTGTCGTCAGTGCTCGCGTGCATTTATCAATTTGACGTAATGGTTCCTATGAATAGAAGGTAGCAATTGCTTTAATTTCATGATCCGACGTTTTGAAAGATCTCGCAGAAAAGCGATGGACGCGACGACAATGGTGACTATCTTATCTTGTTCGCGAATTATCTTCTATTTCTGCTCTCATTCGTACTATCGCAATGCGTAGGAAATAAAGTTAAGAGTAGAGAGTGATACTCTCTTTTCCACCAAAGTAACTATTCGTTGTGTATACGCATTGTTTGAAGTTGCAGCTCGTTTCGGCGCGACGTGCAGCAACACGGAATCGGCATGTCATGTGCGCTGCCGCTTAATTATGTTACATCTAGTTGCGAAACCAATAAACCGTCGTCAAAGCAATTTCCATGGCAACGATGAAACGTTGCTACAGAATTCGGAACCGTAATTCGCTCACAATAACTGCAAATGACAAATCAAGCCGTGGAATTACGGTATTATAATTTTCGTTGCGACATTTAATCCGAAGTTCATTTCCAGTTCATTTCGTTTTTATTTCTACGGGATTGCTAACGTAGCATCTTTTTTTTCCGAGGAGAGTTGATTAGAAGTTT